CTACCAGTAAACAATAGCATGTTTGAGGACAGGCTTGCACTCATTACAAGCAGAGACAAGGTAACATCTGTTGCAATCAGACGTGTTGCTATGGTACTGCCAGAAGTGATGCCTGTGGGCTATAGCAACTGAGCATGCAAGTGAGAACCAAGGAGATGAACATGATTTAACTTGGTATTTCCATGTTGGTATAAAAGCATTGATGTCAAGTTTTTACCCAAGAGGAGACCTCAGATGCACATTTTTGAACAGGATGATTAAAAACTTAATTCCAAGCATCAAGCATCATCATAAAGGAAATTATACAACTAGTCCCAATCAGCTTTTGATAAGAGAAAGATATTCTGTTAATAGGGGGTTCTTGGCTAGTGTAGGAGTGGAAAGAGATGTTTACAGACATTACCACATGCCAAGATCAAGAAGTGTGTCCATCAGGGTTACTGGGGAAATGCATGGGGAAGTCCAGGGTTTGGATGCCAGCAAGGTCAGTGACAGTATTAATGACCACCATGCTAGGTGGCTTAAAAGTCACTGTATACAAATATATTTGCAAACGGGTGTAGGTCTATTGGAGTTCTTCCTAAAGAGAGATAATCAGAAATTGAGAATTCATAGGACATGATCGCAGAGTTAAGATTAGTTTCACAGAGAGCTAGAATGTCTGGCGACTATTCAGAGAGGAACAATTCCATACTACAGAAATTGGTAAGAATAACACAAATGTTGGAGAAAGAAAAATTGAGCGATATAAGTATTTTTTGTTGAGCCGATTTAGTTTTATTTCGTTGGTTGCTTATAGTCATGGTGTGTAAGGAAAAGGCTTAGGGAAATAGTAGCAGTTAGTTGTCTAATGTAACACATGCAGGTAGGGAACTGGCACAGACTGCAACATAGTGTGGCCTTGGGGTTGCCCACCGGAGGTGTTTGCAGGGACAACCTTCTGTGTGCAACATGGCACTGCAAGAACCCCAATATTATATAGTTGTTGATCAAAGCAGATTCTCTACATATTACACAAAAGTTCAGGCTCCTAACTACCAGTTGAAAAGCAGTAACCAGAAAACTGCCAACCTGGTACCCTCAGTATGAAAACACGTTGCCACCATCGACACTTTTCACAAAAAGTCATGACAGCACCACTCTTAAGGCCTAAGAAAAAATGAAAGCCTATCTACTCCTATTAAAAAATAAAATAGATAGAGTATTTGTCTATATTTCTGAGATGAGGTATTATGTACACTATTTACATTATTCAGACTATTTTCCTTATCTTTGTTGCCATATTTATTACAATGTTTCAGCCTTTCAGTATCTGTCTATATTTCTGAGATAAGGTATCATGTACACTATTTACATTATTCAGACTATTGTCCTCATCTTTGTTGCCATATTTATCCACTCTGCCATATGTCCTCAAGGAAAAATGGCACAGTGGATAAAGGTGTTAGTTAGATCCAGTGACAGGACAAAGAGCGTGAGTTCTATACCCGGTTAAGGCAGTGGAGAACTTTCAGAGGGGAATTAACAGGAGATAACTGACAACTGACATTAAACATGGCACATGGAACTAGAACAGTCTACCCAAGTGAGTGAAATAAAGGATTCAGTTCGATATTCCAACCACCTGAAGAAGGCTAGAGCATAGAACGGCTGAAACGTTGTAATAAATATGGTGACAAAGATGAGGACAATCGTCCGAATAATGTAAATAGTGAAAATAGATAGAGATTGAGAGAGAAAGAGATAGAGTGTCATAGTCAACAAAATTTTAAAATATTTTTCCCTTGATAGCAACTGAAGACTTCGGATTAATGGCAAAGCATAGCAAATGAAGAAAACCCAGCATTACAAGATTAAATTTTCTTTATTACTGAGATAATAGTTATAAAAGTGTTCCAAAGAGATGACCAACACTTTAATTATTCTGTAAATGAAAATGTCCAATACTTTTGCAATAAAAATATTTCGGAATTAAAAATAAAAGTTTCCATATTGAGATCTGGAAATTTAAAATATTAACACATGTGCATCTTGTGGCATGTTGCATATTGCTCTGATGCACATGTATATTCATTCTATAGCTTTATCTGAAGCGCTATAAAAATCTATGGTAATGGTCTAGACTTGATTTCCAGGTGAAGCATTAAGTAAAGATGGTGCTTATTTTGTTGTGCTGAGTGTTTTTTGACAGGAATAATTTTAATTTAATCATAGCAACATAAAAATGTATTTTTCTCAAAGTTGGAACTAATGTTTTTTTTTAATTTATTTCTAGAAGCAACAATAAAAAAAAAATGTTTCTCTGTTGTTTTGCATTGAATTTTAGGGATTTTTTTTTCAGTTTTTGTAAAAAAATGATCATAAACAAGTACATACAGTAGTAGAAAAGACTTCAATAGTAAATGTTAGATAAAAGACGTCACAAAATACAGTTAGAACTTCTAAGTAAGCTTTTATTTTTTAGCAATTTTCTCGATAAGTTTTCTTTTTTGTTTCGCTGAAAGAAAGTCAGTATATATTTTGTGTTTAGCAAAAAATTCCACGTGGATCATTTTAATTATTTTCATAAGATTTGTGAAATTTATTTATTGTAAAAAAAAAAAAAATGATTGAACAAAGTAACTATAAACAATTTTCTTTTTATTTGCTATCCTCTGCCAGCTGCAATGATGGAGAAAGCATTATCTCGCACCATTGCCAGTGAGACATGATGCAAGAGCCACTCTGTTTCTCAAGGCTTGTCCCTTAATCAAGACATAATCGTGCCAATCCTCTGAAGGAACGCCATCGAATGAGGACCTTGTTATAGTGGAACACACCTATTCTATTGTTAATAGACACTCCCACCTATAATAAGTAGGAGTAGCAGTCGCTTAGTGAGTTGGTCAGTCAGTCAATGTCGGACGACCATTAGTTGGATATTAAAGTATCAGCCACCACAACTAGATTGCTGCATCATTAACTATTATATCAAGTTCCTAACGTTTTATACGTCGAACGTATTTTAGGACCGACTTAGTGAAATACAAGCCTCCACTGTGAAACTACTCTATAACAGGCCTATAACCCCAGTAAGCTTTTTTATATTTGGGAAGGATACTAGAATAATCCAAAACTTATACTGGGAGAAATCTGCCTGCATGAGGATAAAAAATGAATTCAGTAAATATACAAAAATAGAAAGGGGTGTAAGACAAGGATGTGTCTTCTCACCAGACTGAGTCAACATTTACAGTGAAGCAATCCTTAGGGAATTGGAATTGCTACTAGGATTCATTGTTGGTGGCCACAATCTTAATAATATTAGATATACAGATGACACAGTGTTGATAACAGACACAGAAAGGAAACTACAAGAATGTCTTCAGAAGATAGTAAAGGAAAGCAAGGACTAAACATCAATTGTAAGAAGATAGAATGTATAGTTGTCAGCAAAAAGAGCAGTTATTCCAACCTCTAGAATCATTTAAACATAACTGTTACTACCTAAACAATAACTGTTAGGTTAATAGAATAGACCTTGCTACTCATAATGCACCTTTGACCAGCATATATAAATAGTTGAGCCAAAATACAGCACACATAGCCTGAAGATTGTGTTCAAGCATGAAACAGACTATTGACCTCTCAGTGTTGACCTCATTGTCGTATTCTTTGCCTGAGTAATCTACAATTTTTATCTACACAACTGTATTATTGGATCTAAGAGAGAATTTTGCTTTTTAAATCATTGTTTTGTTGGTTCATTTTCTATGGTTTATCAACCCTTTAAAGACAGGAAATATTTTTAGATTCTAAGAATTTTTTTTGTTTGAGATAATAATGGTTTAGTGCTACAAACCTTACTAATTAACCCACATCTGAGGAGAGAAGAGTTGAATTCATACCTTTCCCAATACTATTTGAGTATAAGTGAATATAACAAACCCAATGGGAATTGGAACTCTGCTCTCCAATTAACAATTCTGAGCCATTATTCACTACACCACCTGCACATCTAAGCTTACAGTGCCTGGTATTCCCAAGCAGTTACCCATCTAGCTACTGACCAGGCTCAACATTGTTTCACTTCAGTGATTTTTAAATCATTAAAAGTAAAAATATACAAATCAGACAATGAAAAAAAAGAAATAAAAAAGCAATTTATTAGCAGCTTGTTTGATATCTACTCGCTAATGACACATGCCATTGTTAAGGTAACATGAGTCATGTTCATTTATTGGTATCAAGTTATGTTTTTGTTGCTATAATAATAGAATAATTTGGGAAGATCATATTGGTTGTGAGGATTATGCTCCTTAAACAGTCAAGTCTTTTCATTTTTTTAAAAATAATGTTACAGAATGTATAGGCTTGCCCAGAATGGCAAATTACTGGTTAGAAGACCACATAGGCATGGAAATCTGACAGTGATGGTATGCCTTTATATTTTTGAGACCGAAAAGGTATGAAGACGCTAAGTATTTTGGAGGGTCAACATGCCACTGGCAAACAGACTCCTTAGTGCGAGCACGTGGTAAGGAAATTCTAGCCACTAAGTCAACATGTGTCTTCTGAATCATCTTACTCTTCCTTCGCTTTAGAAACAATGCTACAACTACTGCTCCTAATATCAAAAAGTAAGATAAAAAAACGAAAATTGTCCATCATTGACTGTGATCTGTGATATAGCATTGAGCACTGAAGAACTGAAAACAAAGACATGCAAACGCAACAATAATTTGTCACATGAAGTTCAGACCCAATGGCATGAAACTCATTTGAACTCTTTGATTTGTTTTTTATGGCTTATCAACCCCTTTGCTGGTTATTTAAAGCCCAAAAATATTTTCAGATTGTAAGAAGTTTTGGAAGATAATAATGATTTATTGATCGAAGTCCTACTAATTAACTCATAGCTTGAGGGAGAAGATGTGGATTCATGCCTTTCCTAAGGGTATTTTCATGTAAGTGAATATAACTAGAATTGATACTTGACTCTCCATTATCCAACATCCAAGCTTACAGTACCTGGTGTTTCCAAGCAGTCACCCATCTAAGTACTGATTAGGCTCGATGTCACTTAACTTCAGAGATCATACAAGAACCAGGATTTCAATGTGATATGGCCATGTATACATGTAAATAGCAAATAAAAAATATTAGTTTTAGCTGAATGTTTAGAAAATTAAATAGAGTAGTATCAAGAAACAGAAAAATTTCATTGGAAACAAAGAGAACTGAACTTTTATGTAATATCAGTCCTCCTATATGGCAGCGAATGCTAGACAATCTCCTCAGAGATGAAGAAGAGACTTTAAGCAACAGAAATGTGGTTTTACAGAGGGATATTGAGAATTCCATGGACTTAGCAATTATTCAACAAGGAAGTTTTACAGAAAATAAAAACAGAACGAATATTTATACTCAGAATCTGAATGAAACAGCTGAAATTTCTTGGACACACAATGAGGAAACAGTGCTTGGAAAATTTAACCCTCAAGCCAAGAAAAGTAATATGATTGCAGCTGATGTTGCTCATGAAAAAACTAAAGTATCAAGAAACAGGAAAATTTCATTAGAAATAAAAGAAAAGAGTACTGAAGTTTTAAGTAATAACAGTCATCCGATATGGCAGCAAAGATCAAGAAAAAACTTGAAGCAAAAGAGATGTTCTACAGAAGGATGCTGAGAATATCAGTGACTGAGCATGTGAACAATGACAATGTTTTGGAGAAAATGGCACAAGAAGGGCACTTGTACTTAGCAGCGAAAAGAGGCAGTTGAAATTTTTTTTTGGTTCATAATAAGGAAAGAGGGCTTGGAAAATTTAACACTCACAGAACATATTGAAGGCAAGAAGGATAAAGGAAAACAGCATATAACCTACCTAATGGGCTTGTGCAAATTGTTGACAGAACAAGGATTAGGGGAGATAACAAAAAGAAAAAAAAAAACCTTTATTACAAAGAACAGGAACTATGGAGAACTGCAATTGCCAACATCCTGAAGAGACAAGGCACATAGAAGAAGAATCCTCTCCACTCCACCAGCATTAAGATATTGACTGAACTGAAAGCAGAAGCATATCCTCCACTGGGAAAAGACTTATTAGCCTGATGCTATTGGAGGCCATGGTGCTGACTGTAGTAAAAGGTCAAGGATAGCACTAGAGAAACATTTGCAGTAGAAGGGAAAACAATAATTGGACCAGAATGTTTTCATTGCAATTAAAGCTGTGCATAATTCCAAATGACTGAAATTTTGGCAGTCACAGTCCCAGAAGCAGTTTAACCTGTAAGAAAAAAATGTTTTACATTATCAGTTCACAGGCAACGAGGAGCTAATAATCCATTTCTTTTTTCCTCTAGATCTAAAAGAGAAAAGAAATAACATATTTGTTTGTGTGCAATGTGAATAAAGAAGAGTCAAAGTATAAAAGTGAAATTAAACAAGACTTTTTCTTGAAGAGGTATCGATCAGGCTTAAAATGGAGTACTGTTGTTATATTTGGGCAGGAACTTCCCAGTTCTCACTTTCCATTCTCGATAGAGTCTAAAAGTATCTCCGAGTTCTTGTGGGTGACAAATTATTTTCTACCTTTCAAACCCTCTCTTGCAGACAGGATGTGGAAAGACTATCGCTACTTCTAAGGAAAGTTCTTGATTCCACCAGTTCTGACCTTCATGGCTAGAATCCACCATGCTACTCATATTGCAACAACCACCCTCATTCCCTTCATATTCCATTAGTGAATGACTGCCCTGTGGAATCGACTCCCAAGAGGATGTTTCCCCAATCACTACAATCTTAACTTGTTCAGGTCTAGAGTTAGAGTTATTTTCACCTCCTATCTGCACATACTGCTTTTACTCTGTAACCCTCTACCTCAAGTGGCTCTTGAGCCCTGTATAGGGTAATCCTCATTGTAAAAAAAAAAAAAAAATGAAGATAAATGATTTTCTTGAAAAAATCATTTCCTACTACTTATTTTCCCAGAGTAGCACTCTCTAGCCTTGGCTATCAACCAGTATAGGAGAAAGAGAATTTGGATTTTAAAATCAAAAGTGGAATCTACTCCCACTCTAACTCTGGAGATAAAAATCAAATCACAGTGCTGAACCTTAATATGAAAACCCACTCAACTAAGGAAGAAGATCCAACAGAAATTCTTTTTTTCAAACCACGTGGACTGGCATTACACAATCACAAAGAACTGTACCAGATAACAGAAACCATATCATGTGAAGACTTTCAACAGCAGCAACAACTAAAATGGATAGCACATCTAACTTGAAGAGAAAATAATGACACACCTAAGATGCTGACATTCCACTCTACCTCAAACCTATTTTCCTAAAAGATTGTTTTAAGAGAAAGATTTTATAAATTTCATTTGACAGCAAGTCTTAATGCTCCATGAATGAATGCCAAATGTTTCCTTATAAGGAAATGGCTAATGTCACCATTATCATTACTCCTTTGATTTTTTACTCCAACTGTGGATGACTTTTTGCACTACATACTTGATAAGTCATCCTTTTTTTAACATCTGGCATGTGGACATAGTAGTAGACATAAGAATACATGTGAATATTTAGCAGAAAAATACTAAGCCCTCAAGTATGTTACATGAAGAGAATAAAATTTCTAATAACTTAATAACTGTACACGCTTAAAACTTAGTAAATTAGTAATTTGATATATTTTAAGTGTTGCTTAATTTTTATCTTTATCCATAAATTATAAACATTAAACATAGCATGTGGAACTAGAACAGTCTACCCCAGTGAGTGAAATAAAGGGCTCAGTTCGACATTCCAACCACCTGAAGAAGGCCGGAGTGTACAACGGCTGAAACATTGTAATAAATATGGCAACAAAGATGAGGACAATAGTCCGAATAATGTAAATAGCGGCCATAAATTATAAGTTAATTAAATTTTATTTTAAGTTAGCATCCACACAATAGATTTTGATTGTTTTCTACAGCTTACGAAACCTTTACAGGTTATTTAAAGCCAGAAAATATTTTTAGATTGTAAGATTTTTTTTTTTTTTTGAGATGATGGTTTAGTGATACAAGTCTTACTAATTAACCCATAGCTGTGGAGTAAGAAGAGGTGGATTCATACCTTTCCCAAGAGTATTTGCACGCAAGTGAATAGAACAACCCCAATGCAAATTGGAACTCGGCTCTCCAATTAACAATTCCGTGCCATTATCCATTACATCACCCGCACATCCAATCTTACAGTGCCTGGTATTTCTAAGCAGTCACTCATCTAGGTACTGATCAGGCTCAATTTTATTTAATTTAGAAGATTGTACAGGAACCAGTGTTTCAATGTGATGTGGCTGTATGCCTTGCACTTAACTACTTGATAAAATCCAAAGAAGAATCAGCAATATTATTGGTCCTAATCTGGCAGCTTGGCTTCAGTAACTTTCTTGTTGCCATAAGATGGCCTTTCTGTGCCTTTTTTAGAAATATATTCATGGTAATTGTTCAAATGAGCACTTCACTATGGTACCTAGACTTTTTGAATTTAAGCACAGTACTAGACTGGAGTCCGAGATCTCATTAATTTACTGTTGAGCTGGCAAGATGTAACTGTAAGTTCTATGCTAATAGTTTTTTCCCCCTTTGTACTTCTTGCTTGTGGAACTCCATTTCAGTTTCATGTTTTCCAGCCAATTTTAATCGCCAAAAATTGAAATGCAATATCAATCACTACCTCCAGTCCTCCTAATTACTCTTTCCACTAATTATTAATGCTTCTGTTCCTAATTCTTCTACACTCAGTAACTCCTTGTGCCTTAGTGGCTTTATTGCTTTGCTTGGGGTGAAACCAATTAAAAAAATAAATAACAAACATAAATGCAAACATAGGCTGAAAAGTTTACTAATACTAGTTGGTTACTAACAATTTTAGAGTGAAAATACTGACTTACCTAATACAACCTGACAGTGAACCGGAGTTTGCTGTTTAAGAAAAAATCTTTGTGCGAGTGCACTGTCTTTTGCATTCATATCACGTGACTCAGTGCGCTAGGTGGCTATGATTTTATAGAATGTGCTCAAGCTCCATTGGGGCTGTCACTACAAACCAATTACAAATGTAAACAGGAGGAGCTAGGATCATCATCTTTTTCCATGTGACGTGTCCTTTCAGGACGTAGGTTATCATGGCTCTCCACAATTTCCTGTCCTTTGTAACTCTTAATGAATTTTGTCTTTCTGTTATTTCTCCTAAACCATATTCTTCCATTTATTTACTCAGGCTCACTAAGTAAGTTATGCGTTGTTTTCCTTTGATCCCTCTTGCCTTCAATCTGTCCTGTGAGTATCAAATTTTCCTTCCAAAGTTTCCTTTTTGTCTCCATTTTTCTCTAAAATTTTGTTGTTGCTCACATGTTTGGTCCATGGTATTCTTAGCATCCTTCTGTAGAAGCACATTTCCACTGCCTCAAGTCTCTTCTTCATCTGTGAGGAGATTGTCCAGCATTTACTGCCATGCAAGAGGACTGATATTACGTAACAGTTCAGTACTCTTTTCTTTGTTTCTGTTTCTTAATACTTTAACTTTTGAAAGGCATCTTTGACTATACTAATGCACCTTTGGATTTCAGTTCTGCACTTTCTGTACCCTGTTAAAATACTTCCAAGATATTTAAATTTTTATTTACATTATTTGGACTATTATCCTCATCTCCATTGCAATATTCTTAACGTTTCAGCTGTTGTATGCTCTGGCCTTCTTCAGATGATTGGAGTTTTGAACCGAACCCTTTATTTCATCCACTGGGGGTAGATTGTTCTAGTTATATGTGCCATACCTCTTCCAGTGGATGAAATAAAGGGTTCAGTTTGAAATTCCAATCACCTGAAGAAGGCTGGAGTGTACAACAGCTGAAACACTGTGAATATCGCAATGAAGATGATGATAAGAGTCCAAAAATTGTAAATATTTATAATACTTCATCTCAGAGATATAGACAGATATTTAAATTTTTGTACTTTTTTCATTTTGATAGCTCCAATTTTTAATTTGCATTTGGGCTGTTACCTGACTCCACCTACCTTTACAAGAGTCAGATCGAACCAAAAATAGAGTATTGATGCCCTATA